TACATTAATCTGACCATAATATCCAAAAAGAATTTTTCTAATCGGACTGGTAGTTGCAGAGATGAACACAAATATATATGAATATATTATATATTATAGTATTTAACTAAATTTAATAAATAATCAGACATCAAAAATTTCTATAATCTGGATAATAGACCAATAAGACTACAAATAATAATTCGGGCATACCAACTTTATATACCTTTGGAAAAACCAGACGCAAATAAACAAAGAAAGAGGAAGATCCCTTAGTATTTCCCAAGAACTCTCAGGCCAAATCATGTTAACATCCAACAGGTAATTAATTTTCCTACTTGTATTTAAAATGTTAAATATTATTAGCACATTAATTTACTTACTGGCTTAATTATTGTAATGATAGTGCAACTATACCTATATTTTTTAATTTAATTATGATGCCAATAGGACACGCTGTTTACCGTTATGTTGTCTATGTTAAGTGGATGTTGTGATACATAAAAACCTGCAATTATCCTCGATAAATAATCAAAATGCAGATGCGCTGTCACATCACACATGTCACATCAAAAGGTCGTACATACAATACACAGCAGCATTATGTTTTTATTTTACGCTGATATTCTGTGAAAGCGTGATCCTTTTCCGATTGAGCCGACCAAGATAGCTGCCGCTTGAAAAAAATAATTCTATACCTTAAACAAAAATTAATGAAATTTAAAATAATATCTAAAATAAGCTGTACTATGGACTGTTTTATCGCTCAAAGTTGATCTCTTCAAGGTAAACTTCGTATGGACAAAAACTAAAAAAACGGTTGACGGCGGCGGTGCGGTGTGCATCAAAAATAAATAAAATGAAACAACACTTTATGTAAATTAAATTATTATTTTGTAGTAAGTTTTTAATGTCATTTAACTTCTTTATTGAATCACAGATGGCATTAAAGTTAAATAACAGTCTACTTTACTAGGTATAACACCTAGTAAAGTAGGCTGCTAATTTGCCCAGGGATCAGTCTGGGTGCTTACCATAATTTTACCTATTTCTGCCGCCATGGTACAGTCCGTGCACCACTTCGTTCCATACTGAAAGGAATAGACAGCCAGTATAATAACAGGCTGACGGTTTCCATCTTAGTTTACAGAGTAGACAACGTATCTGTCGTCTCTGGTTGAAGTTGGTTGCAAGTGTCCATAGGGGGCAGTAGCTACTTACCATCATGTGGACTGTAAGTCCGCTCGTCACTTCTATTTAATTTAAAAAAATTAGGGATTTTGGAGTAGAGAAGAGTCGGTCACCATTATTGTCACTGTATACTAGTTTTGATGATAATGATGTAACGTGATTGAAATTTAACGTGTGACGTAATGCTTAAAACGTGCGCATCATAGTTGCTAGCTTAGCAATTATGATGCGCACGTTTTAAGCATAAATATGTATATGCAGATTACGCGGAATGATATTTCCTTAATATTATGTGCTATAATTTCAAAATTTTAGTTAATAATTATTATTTATGGACTTTAAATATCTTTTAGGTGGGTTTTTTACAAATAATTGTTTGAACACATGTCCTTATTTACGAAATATAATATAACAGTAGCCGCTTGATCTTTCAGAAGGATAAATTATATATGTTTATTATGCAATAAAAAAGGTTGGCACTGAGATATTTAATCATTCTCATTTCTATAAAACTGTATACATATATGTTATACATAGTCTTACTGTACAGTAAGATTACAGTGATGTTGAAGAAATCAATTTTTAAGGATTCTATCGCGTTATATTAACCCATTTTTATATTCCCGTCGTTTCGAATACTCTGCAGCACTCACTAATCGCAAGAGTACGAAAGAATTCAACTTCCAATATTAAAGTTAACTCAGGCTACCTTTAGCTTAAAACTATTATTTTTGGTCCGTACTACGCTGAAAGAAACTATAATAGCTGCTTTTGGTCGCTAATCGGGGTATGTTATATACAGTATATATCAAAGCGGTATTTTAGTAGAGTAGTAAGAGAGAAATACTTCACCTAATTGCCGTACATTACGTCATCACAGCTTATTTTGATTCGTATCCTAGCTAACCCTAACATTTCTCAAGAAGTAAAAATTTTAAGTTTTAGAAAATTTAACGCATGAATTCCGATTTACAGTATCCAAGCGTACCAAAAAGCCCTACGTTAAGCATTTTTGTTATAATTTTTTTACTTTATTTATTTTATTTATTTAATTTATAAAATATAGTTATTAAATTTTGACGGCTCCGTGGCGCAGTGCCTTAGCAATGATGTACAGCACTAAGGGCCGCGGGTTCAAATCCCGCACGGAACAAGCATTTGTATAGGCTACAACTGTTGATCGAAGTCTACAAGTAACTGTTCCGGGTCTGGATGTTTCTCCTTGTGAAATTCATGTTTGTAAACTGCCCTCACGATACAGGAGAAAATCCTAGTGTGGAGGTAACAATTTTAAAAAAATTGGCGTTGCGATAACTTACTTAATGAAGTATGAACGTCAACAAGTAAGTTATCATGGTGTGACAAAATAGCAAAATGTTTTTTGAACTAATGTGTACCAAAGCAAAACATAGTTAGTGAGTATGCTAAATAAAGTTATGACTTGAGATAATTACAATTGTGTGTATCTATGTATATATTTATTAGTATATAAATTAATATATATATATATATATATATATATATATATATATATATATATATATATATATATATATATATATATTTGACTGGATGCACTGAGCTGGTTTTCATACGAAGAGGTGCTTTAACTGCAGCACGCTACATCACAGAGATCTTAGAAAACCATGCGGTGCCATACGCCGGCTATATTGGAGAGACCTTTGAATTAATGCATGATAATGCACGACCACACGAAGCGCGCAACACAACCGATTACCTTGAAGAGGTTGGCATTCGGGTTATATCGTGGCCTCAACCCTATAGAGCACATGTGGGACACCCTAAAACAAAAGGTTAGAGCCCGTAATCCAGTCCCTGCAACATTAGGAGACCTTGAAACCGCCATTAGGTAAGAATGGAACCGAATCCCTCAAGAGACCATCAAAATCTTGATAAGGTCATTAAAACGGCGAATGCAGGCTGTCATTCGAGTAAGAGGAGGGAATACGCAATATTAAATTGCAACAATTGTGTACATCAAATTCAATACATAAAAACTAGAGCGTATTGAAAATTAATAAAAATAATCGTGAAAAATTAAAGATTTTGGTTTTTAAATGAAAATTACTTTCAAAAAAATCATTTTGATGTTTTAACTGTGATTATATTGTTATAAATAAACAAGTTAAATAAAACATTTCAGTACTTAAACGTTTTGATTGGTTCTGCTTTAGAAAAACGTGATTTGCGGCAATAATGCAGGTGGGCCGATTTTTTTGATGGCTGGTATATATATATATATATATATATATAATATGATTACAAGGGAAGGTAAGTCATTAATATACACTAAAATAGGAATGGGTCAAGAATTGAGGCTTGAGGGACGACACGGACGACGCGGAAGAACTTTTACCATTGATAATAACTAAATATAAAATAATAAGTTTAAGCGCTGTGTTCTTGACATAATAGCACTGTAGCTTCCTGATTAATATCTCATGTTGAACACAGTCGAAGGCCTTGGAAAGGTCGCAAAATATATCCAAAGCATCCTCGGAATTCTCCCATGGACAAAGAATATGTTTTATAAGTTAATTTCCGTCGTCGGTTGTCGAGCGACCCTTTGTAACCCCAAGTTGAGTTTTATGAAGCAATTTATTTATATTAAATAAACTTAACATCTGATCTAATATAATTTTTTCAAAAATTTTACTTAATGTATGTAGTACAGAAATTGGTCTAAAATTAGCGGGGTCTAATGTACTACCAGATTTAAATAAAGGTATCACTAAAGTGAAGTAAACCGTAATTTAATGAAACGTAGTAAACTACGTTTCATTAAATTAGGAAACACACTAGATTCAACGCTTGTGTTAAAATAGTGGCTAGTTAAAGTGCTATTGTATCTATTATAGATGCAATAACTTTAACTGAAATACCCATAAGTCTAGCGTTTTCTTAACATCAATAGTTTTAAAATATTTAACGACACCTTTTGGCAATTCAAAAAAATATATTTGTGTATTATAGTATTCTATGGCAATACTCTATGGAATTTAAAAGTATTTGAACAAGCCTTTACATTTTGCTTAAGCAATGATTAAGCGACAGTAGCAGAAGAATTTAAAGCTACGGATGGACACGCTCATTAGTAGCACGAAATCTTGCTATTAATGAGCAAATGCTACTTAGTAGCAAGTGTATCAAATCATTGCAAGTAATTAGCATGCTATTTAGGAGTATGCTCAAACATCAACAGTCGTTCGATTTTCGAGCTTGCTACTTGAGGCAGGGGTGGAGGAGGGCGTGCTTTGAGCATGTCTGAACGTGTTTGCTTACTATATTATAGCACGCTACTTTTAATCTTCCTCCCGTTGTTTTTTTTTACTGCTCGGATGGCTTTGTATGTTTTGCTTTGTTTTCATTCGCGTAATTTCTTGAGTAAACGGAGTTTTGTTTTGAAAAAAAAAAATTGTTGCGCTGGGGAGACGAAAGAAATTAAATTTTGTTATTCACTCCCGAAATCATGTCTTTGGAATCCTCGTTTACCGATGTACAAAATAAAATAGCACGTAACAACGTTTACGATGATTTATTACAAGTAATGAATGAACCAGCTTTGACATTGAAAATTCTTAAAACCAAAATTAAAAACTTAAGATCAGTGTATCACACATAATTAAAAAAAATTGAAAATTCAAAGAGGACCGGTTCTGGTGCATTAGAAACATACAAGCCTACCATTTGTTGCTTTGAGGAATTGCATTCATATTTGGGTGATACAAATGTATCTATATCGTACAACTTTAAGTACCAGCATGGTGAGTACTGTTTACTTATATCTAAATATTGATAATATAGTCTTGCTATGATACTGCTTCTGTTGGTACAAACAGTTGTGCATAAGCATTTCTTATTGCAACTGCCTGTCGAGAAGCATGCTTATTATGTGTTGCTGGTAAACGCTCCAAAGCTGTGCGCAGCTGCTGTCTCCAAGTTCCTGGTATAACAACACGTTGTTGAATGTCTTCAAAATCGACACATCGTTGCGTGATGTACATAGGAGATGTTTTCCGAAGCCATTTGTGTAAGGAACAAGTTGCCAACGTGATAATATCTACTTTTTTTGGTGTCATATCTATAGTGTTTGGGAACACTCGAAATCTTGTTACTAAAATACGAATGGCGTTTTCGGCAATTCTTCTCGCTCTTCATAAACGGTAATTAAAAACTTTTTCTTTATGACTGGTATTAATGCGTAGGGCTTCATGGGGTAAGGTTTCAACGGAAACGCAGCGTCTCTGACAATAACAAAATGCTCTGGTATAGTAAGAGATTTTCTTTCCACTACGAGCCTTAAACTTGATTGTGTATAAATACTTCCATCAGCAGAAACTGCATCAAACACACAAAATCAACAAATTTTTACTTTAACACTACACTTCCGCTTACAACAGACTTTCAAAATCAACAAATATTCATTCCAGAAACTGCATAAAATACACAAAATCAACAAATTTTTACTTTAACACTACACTTCCGCTTACAACAGACTCTCAATATCAACAAAGATCCATTCCAGAAACTGCATAAAATAAACAAAATCAACAAACTTTTACTTTAACTACACTTCCGCTTACAACAGACTCTCAAAATCAACAAACATTCATTCTAGAAACTGCATCAAACACACAAAATCAACAAACTTTTACTTTAACTAAACTTCCGCTTACAACAGACTCAAAATCAACAAACATTCATTCCAACAACTGAAGAAGAACAATCTCGACCAAACTCTCAAACTATTTGATATGTTAAATGCAGCTTAAAATATGTCTTAAACATAATCTTTTCATTTTTGATTTTTATGTCAATAGATTATTTTGATTCTTGATTGTATTTTTGATTGTACTGATTACACAATAAAATTTAAATAGATCAATATTTTGTTTTAATTGCCTGATTATAATCCTTTAAAGCCATTGATATTGCAGTACAAACTTCAGGTAAAAACTGAGATACAGCAGATCTGGAAACCCTGTACAATGCTTCTAATGTGTACAAAGAATCTCTAACAGCTGGATAACGCAGAGTGATTTCTAATTTTATTTTAGCCGGAATAGCATTTCGATGATGTGTATCCTGTTTTGTATAGAATTTTCGATTTAGAGTAGGGTATCAAATTGATGCGGTAAGATGCGTAAATGATTTTTGTAGCACTTGATATTTTCTTTTCGCATTTCTACCAACAAGGAATCACTTGCTTCAAGGTTTGCTCTTCTATATAGCTAATCACGCACCGAAATGGTCCTATTTCTTTTTTTTTCACTGTCGTGTATACAACGAAAAAAAAGATTTTGGGTACATCGAATCGCAAGCAATAACACGATATTGTTGAGTTCGGTACGGATTGCCATTTGGCTGTCCATGACGGTTACTAAATAACAAATGTACTGGATTTTTTTTCTTGAAGGATGTTTATTCAGGAGTATGCTTAAAACTAGTGTGCCTTTTGCTAGCTGTAAACAGTACAAAAGCATGCTTATTTTTCGGATACTCATATGCATACTCACTAGTGTGCTACTAATGAGCATGTCTATCCGTAGCTTAACTACCAAAAAAGGAACATTTGCTTTGCCCTTTTCATTATTAATCATACTCCATGTCATTTTAATTTTATTGAATGCAGTTTAAATTATTTATTTATTTATGTTCACAAAATATAGTTACTAGATAACATCCGACAGTACAAATAAACTTACAAAAGTTGTTTCATGTGCCGTCGATTGGGAATCAAATTTATATGACTTCGAACATGTTCAATCGGTTCGCGTGGAGACAACTTACTTAATGACGTACATACATGGCTGTGACAAAATAGTAAAATGGTTTTTTCAATTATGTTGCTTAAACGTAAAGCTTACATCAACAACATACTTTTTTACACATTTTAGAATATGTTTTTACATAATCTCTAAATATACCATGATGATTATATGATATTTCATTATAAAGCTCGTATAACCTTCGCCTAGGTACTTTTAAAAATTCCTACTTTCGCCCATTCATTAAATGATTTGCAATTGTTTAAAGAGAAAGTTTTAGAAGTAAATATTCTATTAAACACACGAGTTATCATTTTAAATACTGCACTATACAAATAATCAGCACTGTTTTTAAATTAAATTGCTGGAAATCTTTTTAATATATTACTTCAATCTTCTTCTCCAAACGATGTGCATTTGTTGGAACTAACACAACTGTCCCATTTTTTTTTTTGTGAATGTAAGACAATGAGACCAACTGTCCACAGTGCTCTGAACTTCAATTTTGAATGATTGATTTATGCAATGGCTTAACATCTGTAAAAATGTTATCTATACAGGTCGTACTAGGCTCAGAAATACGTAGATTTGTCAGAGATGCAGCCATTAAAAGGAAACTGAGCAAAATTGATTCGTCAGCCTATTTAAATGTTTTGAAACGCAGCGTATAGGAAAGCATGAAAATAGCCTGTTTATTACAAATGGAAATGGGATATTTTTTTAATTAAAGGAAAAGAGCATAATTATCCGTCAGGGATGCAGACTTTTGAAAAGATACTGAGCTAAATTGATTCGTTAGAGATGCAGTTTTCTGAATTGAGAGGGAACTGAGCCAAATAAAAGATCCGTCAGAGATGCAGCCTTTTGAGTTGAAAGGAAACTGAGCTTAATAGGTCCGTCAGAGGTGCAGCATTTGGAATTGAAAAGAAACTGAGCTAAATAGGAAATTTTGAATTGAAAGGGAAGATCTGTGGGAATTCTGATTAATTGATTGTGGGAATTTTGAAAAAAAAAAAACTAACTGAACACTATTTTAAGACGCTACTGTACACAATGTTATATGTTTTTCCATTCGGGGAAAGAATGTGGAGATTCTGAGCATTTGACACACGCGAACATGCTACATACAGCTGACCATGAGAGAAGCACGGTTTTTCTAAGTTGACCCCCGCTACCTGTAACGTTTGCCCTTGCGCTTTATTAATTGTCATTGCAAAACTGAGCTTAATAGGGAATTGCAACCTTTTGAATTGAAAAGGAAGATCTGTGGGAATTATAGAGATCCATGTGGTATAATAACATTTTCACCTTTTCCTACGCCTGTCAAAATTGTAGCACCGATTATGTTCCGTCCAAGATGTGTCACACGCAGCCTTGTCCCGTTACATAACCGAGGAGCATCTAAATTTCGCATTAGCATGACTGGGACGCCTAATTTTAATCGAAGCTTATGTGAGGGCACACCTGACAATTAGAGAATTAGAAACCGGGGGTGTCTGTTCTGTGTCCATAACTGTGTCTGCTGAGAAATACTCTGTTATTTCTCCTGCTACTTCGCTTAATATATCTGAATTTATTTTGTTAACGCTCTCATTTTTTGGTGCAAGAATCGCCCTTTCACATAACCATTTGTCTTCATGCATGTTGTTCGTTAAATCTGAATAAACGCTCGCAATTAATTCGGAATGACTCTGTACTAAATTACAAAAATCTCTCGTCAATTTAACGCAGCCCTCAGCATCGTTTCCAAGTATTTTTAATAGTGTGTCAGATAGTTTCCAGCATTGATATCATTATACAAATGCACTCTCATATTCGTAGTTAAACTGAATTTTGTCACCTTGTTCCATAAAATAGACGACTTGAGGCATGCTTTAATTTCATCTGCAGGTGTGCCCTTTTGAATGACAGGTAAAGTTTGGCGAAAGTCACCAGCCAGTAAAACCACCATTCCTCCCATTACATCGGTATTGCTGCGCAAATCCTGGAGCGTTCGATTTAGTGCTTCTACAGCTTTTTTATGCGACATTGTACTTTCGTCCCACACTAAAAGCTTGCATTGTCGTAGCATTATACCTCGTGCACTATTTTTGCTAAAGTTGCAGATCGGCGATTCTTCCTGGGCTAGATTTAGAGAGAGTTTTAAAACAGAATGTGCAGTGCGGCCCCCGCTTAGCAGCGTGGCGGCTATACCGGAGGAAGCTACGGCCACAGCAATGTTTTTATCTTTCCGTACTTGCGCTAATAATAAATTTAACAAAAATGTCTTTCCAGTTCCTCCAGGGGCATCTAAAAAGAAAAGTGCACCATTTTCAGATTCAATTTGTCCTAATACTTTGTCAAAAACTCGTTTTTGTTCGGGAAGCAAGCGGGGTACAAATTCGGCTACTTGCTGCTGCAAAGCTGGTATATCGTAGTTTGTTTAACGTATAATTTCATCAAAGGGTAACCATTGTCATTGTGCACTGTTTCTTTTAATAGCTGTTTAGGGAATTTCTTTGTAGATTTTCCTTCTTTCATACATGGCGATATTGTATTTCGTGTACATGGACCGTGAATCATATTTCGGACGATGGTATCATACAATTCCTTATCTTGCTCAGAATCCGGAATCTCGGCGCTTATTATGTCGTCTATTTGGCTGGGTCGCAACTTCTCTTTAAGCCATATTAGAGTGTGGGCATGCGGTAATCCTCTTTTTTGCCATTCAATTGAATACATGAAGCACTGCACCTCTCCGAAAATTTTCCCTTTGTTAATTACATACATTAATTTTTGTATTTTTAATCTAAATACTCTAGCAACTAAATCGTGTCTGTCAGTACTTTTTTGGCCCGGCATTAGCTCCTCGGTTATTTCTTTCCATGTGGGATTGCAAGTAAAAGTAACAAAAAGATCAGGTCTTCCGTAAGTTCGTACATAGGCGAATGCGTCTTGTGTGTGCTCATGTAGGTAGCGGGGACTGTTAACGAATGATGAGGGCAGAATTACCATTTTACCTAAATCTCTGGGGCTTACATTGGCGTCCCTAGAAACTGCATCTCGTAAATGTATATAATTCTCAACACGCAGCTTTTTTGATTTAAAGATATATAACGGAGACGTTCATTTTCTACCTTCACATACATGTCTACCAAAAATTGATGAAATAATTGTCTACACCGGGCTAAGAGGTTAAAATCATTTTCTCGCAACATCATATGATACGCATAAAAATCCATACATGATACTTTTTTGTTCGGAGTAGGCTTCTTTGTGACCGGGTTAATGAGTGGAATTTGAAAATGATAACCCTCTTGTCCTTTGCAATA